CATGACTATGTTTTGGTTTGAAGGATGGGATATGGCAATTAAATTATAGGATATAGAGACATAACACCTTAGTCCCCACGAATGGCAAAGCATAAAGGGTATCATGGGTACAGTATATCTTTGTTATATTCATGGTCCTGTTATATTCATATCTATAGGCATTGTTTTTTTTATGGATGATATTGAAATGGTAACCACCCCTGTACGGTATACGCCGGCGGGGTACCAGTGGTAGATGATAGGTGAGGACGAAAGCAGATCAATAGCCCATCGTGATGAATCTCACAAAAGTTAACCTAAGATGGTTTTTAGGGGGAACAGCGTGGAGGTCGAACTGAAAGGATATATTACTTTCTCTCTATATGCAATGTCCACTATTCATCGCGTGGACCGTCAGCTTGTATTGCTTTTCTAAATATATTATATTTATAAAAAATACCAAATTTATCTTAATACTCAGCGATATTAATATTAATAACAATAATTCATTAGGTTTTTTAATAAACGGGATGTCTAAATAAATTCACCTATCTACATTAAATTATAGTAAAATACGTAAGTGTATTCGTCATTTGAAATACTACCTGTAAGTACATAATGTATAGGTAAATCTGGAAGTAGTTGGACGCTTTTGGAATATTAAGTCCAGTAGAGGCGCCTGTGGTATTCAGTTTAATTAAATTTCCACATAGAGGGAGGAAGATTCCTGTGAATACCGCCTTGGGCATGAACGCAACGAATACTAAAAAGCGCGCCTTTAATCTCTTACATATATATTTAGATATTATCGATATCTGATTGCATTTTCTCCTGTGAGATAACTCAGATAGATAAGGCCAGCATGAAAAAACAATTTGTGAGATTCTATTAGAAGATCCTCGTGTTATTGAGATAACTGTACTTCCGAATTTTTATACGGATATAAATGCTGATTTCCCTCGTATGTATAAAGGAATTCAAATAGGTAGGTTTTTAAACCAACTACTACCAATGCTTTTCAGCGTTCATGATGGCATTATACTCGTATTTGTTAGTCTGACTTACAATATCTAGGGGTATAATAATATGGGGTTTTGGACAGTCATTAACGTGTTCCAAACGTTTTAGCTTTCTGAACTTAAAGGTTAGGAAGATTCTGCCAGATGATATTGTCTGTAAGTTCAGTAAGACTATATCGAGAATTTATAGGATATGTAAGAAAAACACCTCAGTTCTCAAGTAACGCATGATTGAACGATCCGTACTATTACATCACATTGTAATTAATTTATGAATTAAATTTCAGGTGCAGTTATTGCTATGTAATTGTGTCAACATAATTTTATAATGAGAAGGAGACTGAGAGATATCTACTTTTTAAGTCTATACGCGACGGTTATAACTTTCAAACAAAATGTGGTGTCAGCTTATTCACCAACTTGTATTCAGGACTGGAACGATTTTGCAATTTCAGCAAAGGTAATTTATAGCATGAGAAGTTTCTAAAAGAAACACAAGACGTTATGACGACGTGGAAATCTGTTGTACTCGTATCACTTGCGACACAATCCTTATATATTTTCAAATGCCGACCGTAAAAAGTAACAGATCGCTGCTACTGGGCATGGCAGAAATTGAGATTGATGTCGGCGCAGGTCACTTTTTATCTATCTAATGTATCCAACGGGAATTTCATTAACAGTATCTATAAAGTTTTATTCATGACTTGCTGGATCTATTTACCTATATACGTATAAATCTACATAGCTAATTAAAGAAAGGTTGTATATCTAAATATTATTATTATCCAGCACCCAAACACATCTATGATCTATATTAATCGACTATGAAATGGAAGAGATATCAATTTGACTGGTTGTTTTTATTGTGTGTTAGGTAATTTTTATAATATATAATAATAATTTTTATAATATTATTATATATTATATTATTCTTTTGTCTCTTTTGCTGTATATTACGTGTATGTTTTTTTTTATTGTAATTTGTGTGCTGTAAGTAATGTAAATAAATTATCTATCTATCTATCTATAATATAAACGAAAGAGTTTACTAATTTCATTAAAATTATATATTTTTTGTATTTAAACTCAATATTTGTTACCTAATAACTGTAAATAACAATAATTTTATTTCTACATTCTTCTTTTTATTACTATTATATATCTGTTTACAGTTTTAATAATGTTTACTTGTAGTTTAGTGTAATGATGAAATACAAAATAGAAAGTAATATTTCACTGTGTAACCTCATTACCCACATTTTAATTTAGATATACCGTTTAAAACCCTTACAGCGCAAACAACACCATGATAAGACTCATCGGATAGTCCATAGGAGGGTTGAGGCAATTTACTGCCGTAGAAAACATCTTCTGTTATCACCACATTTTATCTTGCTTATGAAACTCGGAGATTTACGACCAACCGTATAATGAAGCAAGCTAATACGTTTATCATAATAAAAATTTGTACGAATTGTTTATCTTGGCCTCTACGTCCGACGAAAATTTTGACATTTGTTTTGCAGCTAATTTTAGATATTCGGGATATTTGTTTTATAAAATTAGTATTGTATATCGTGAATATGATTTTAAATACATTGCATATTAAATATTTACTTAAAAGTTACTAATGTAATGGTATTCATAGTACAAAAATACTTATAATCAAAACAACTAGGTAATCAAATAGATAGATAGATAGATAGATATCTTGGAGAGGGTAGAAATTCTAGTGCACGGATCCAACAATTGTCTATGTTATTTAATGTTTATAATTATAAATATCGTGTAATTGATTAGTAATACTATATATTTTGATTCTACCAATATTAAAGGTGCGTAGGGAAGTGTAGTTCAAGCTGTGTTGGTGTTTTTCTTGCTGGAGTGTTCATATATCTTAGTGACGACTCTAAAGTACCTACAATATGTCTTCCGTAAATGCTAAATGTGCGGGTTGTTTGAAGAAAATCGACGACAAGCGCTCGTTGTGCTGCAGCATATGCCATCAAAAGTACGACCTTGTTTGTGCAAACGTTTCGGAACAGCGCTTCTACAACACCATGTCAGCGGAGCACAAGGCAGCATGGCGGTGCGTTCTGTGTATGAGCAAGCTGCGCAAAACGGATAACACAAACACGCCCGTGCGAGAAGCCCTCGATAATGTCACTCGGCGTCGTGGGGCTGCTGTTGTTGGTCCGGACAAGGCGCCTCATGACTCGCCGGAGAGTTTACCGTCGGTTGGTCAGAATAGTGTGGTGGATAATGGGCCGTCAGAGATTTCAAGCGAACAGTCATTATTGCATGAAATTCGCTTGTTCAGAGAGGAGATGGCAGCCACGCGATCTCAAATGAGCATTCTTAATGATTCTCTTAATAAACTTACATCTAGAATGGACCAGTGTGATAAGCGTATAGATCATCTTAGTGCTCGTGTCGAATCTCTCGAACGTCAAAGCACTCAGAGAGGTGAGGACAGAAGCACAGAAAAGCTTTTAGGGTCTATAGAACAATTAAAGACAGAACTCAATGATAGAGACCAAGAGTGTTTATTAAACGACATCGAGATTTCGGGCATTATCGAACAGAAGGGTGAAAGTCTGCCTCACATTGTCATGACTATTGCAAGCAAGTTGGGTGTCAAGTTGGTTGACGAGGATCTGGTCAGCGTCATGCGGGTTGGTCCAGTACAGGCGCCGCAGGAGTCGTCGTCATCATCGTCTAAACATTCTCGTCCCCGTCTCATTGTTATTCGACTTGGCCGCAGAGTTCTTCGTGATCAACTGCTTAAAGCTGCTCGCGTACGGAGGGGTGCCACCACATCAGACACCGGTCTGCCCGGGCCACCACAGCGTTTCTATGTTAACGAAAGGTTGACAAGGGTCAATCGTCTCCTGTTTCGACGGACACGGGAACTTGCTGGGCGCTTCAACTGGCGGTTCGTGTGGACCAGCAGTGGTAGAATATTTGTAAGACAAGACCACGGTACGGATGCTCTTCCTCTGCGCATTCGAACTGATCGGGACCTTCTTAGGGTTTTTGGGTCTGACGCAGTTGGCTCAACTCAAATTCAAAACGAATAAGGTAAGTATAAGTCCACTGAAGGTCACTTCATATGTCAATATCGGTATCTATATATCCACAGTATTTTACTTAAACTTTAGTTATGAATTTTATATTATTTATTCCATTTTGTCGGTGTTGTATAGCATACTGAGTAAAATCTATTCAATTTTTATCATAATGTATATACTTTTTATTGTATCATCCATATATTCACATAATCTGAAACAATACAAAATCAATATAACTACTTATTTCATGTATAAACTATTCAGCGTGTATAAATTATTTATTAATTGTTATTTAAATCTGTATTACGTATTACTATTTATTGTATCAATCATGTATTGTTCTAAAAAGATGAATGACCATATTTCATTTTATTTGTATCTTGTTTGCCATGATAATATGATCTTGTGCGAATCTGCTGCAATCCAGGGGTACTTGAAAATATTTATGTTATATTATATATCCATAGATTACACTATACAACGCACTAAAATCACTTCACTTCTATCTATGGTAACGTCGGCGTCGCCTACTATTGTTCGTTATACTAGCAACATTTACAATGACAGAACTAAGTACGCATGCTTACCTTGTGTTGACTCCTTTGTGGTATTTATTTTTATACATCATACAATTCTTCAATTCAAATAAGTTCATTAAGTTAGGTCTATACAATGCCGGGTCACTCAATACAGCACGAGACGAATTTATAGTTGCAGTGAATCGTTTCAACGCCGACTTCATTGCAATAAATGAAACATGGCTTCGCTCGGGTGAGGAGGGATGTGCGCCCGCCGTCGCCGACTACAGACTGTATAGCTCACCGCGACCGGTAAGCATGCGCGCCGGCCGCGGGGGGGACTAGCCTTCTACGTGAAACGTAATGTGCGTGTGCGCATACTCAAACACCCAGCGGCTAGTATCGAACAGATGTGGTTGTCTACGCGTATTAATTGCTACAATATATTAATCGGTACGGCATATCGTCCTCAATGGATGAACATTGATAATTTTTTGGATGCTATAACGGAAACTGTGACTTATTTTTCTAATTATGACTATACGGTTTTTATGGGAGATTTAAATGTTAATATGCTGAATTTGCATAATAATAATGCACAAAAAATAGTAGAGTTTCTACACTATACTAGCCTCACGCAAATAGTCACTGAGCCAACACACTTGTCAACCGACACTGAAACGCTTATTGACCTAGTGTGTACTAATGCACCGGTCCGCAGTATTTCGAACAATTTTATTAGAGGTTCCTTGGGGCATGCGATGATTAATTTCGAACTCACAATAAAAAAGTGTAAAATGCCAATTAAATATTTTATACATCGACCCATCAGGGATATTAACCTGGAATATTTTAATCTACATTTAAATTCTATAAATTGGGAATACATAAATAGCCTGGCTTGTGTTGACTTGATGGTCGACACTTTTAACTCGATGTTGCTATTCCTTTTTGATGGACATGCTCCTGAAAAAAGGATTAAAATTAATGGCAAACATTCACTACCATGGGTAACCGATACCATCAGACGTATGATTGACTTGCGTAATAAAGCACTGTTAATGTATAGGAGGACAGGATTGGAGGTACACAATAAATATTATAAAGACCTTAAAAATCTCGTTCACAGTAGTATCGATCGGGAAAAGCGAGCTTACTATAATTATCATATAAACTCTCAACAAAGTAATGGTAAAATATTCTGGAAAAAGTTAAAGGAAAATATTCCCGTGGACTCCCCTAAAAGTGATATACTACCGTCCTTTTTCAATAACCCCGACAACATTAATGCACATTTTTTAAATGTACCTGGACCGAATAATGTGTCTTTATCAAAACTCACTTACTATGAGTTTCATAGGTATGGTACAGCTGGTTTTCGATTGCAGCCGGTGTCAGAGAGTGATGTTGCTAGGTATATCTCGGCAATAAAATCTAATGCATTGGGTAGTGATCGGGTGAGTAGAGACATGATACTATTGACTCTTCCTCGTACACTAGCAATTATAACCAACATAATTAATAAATCTATTGTTACGTCTAAAGTTCCTAGTCAATGGAAACATGCATTGGTTACTCCTTTATCCAAAATTAATAATCCTGCCGAGTTTAATGATCTCAGACCAATAAGTATTCTATCCTTTCTGTCCAAAGTCTTGGAGAAAGCCGTTCATACTCAGTTGCTGAAATACGTTGAAACAAACAACATCCTGCCAAAGTATCAGTCAGGATTCCGTAAAGGTAAAAGCACTACCACTGCTTTACTGGATGTTGTAGATAATATTCTTGCTTCACAAGATGTTGGTAATGGTACTATTTTAACTTTACTCGACTACTCTCGCGCTTTTGATTGTTTAAATGTACCTCTTTTGCTTTCAAAGCTGACATATTATGGTTTGGATCGGCACTCTGTGGGATGGTTTCATAGTTACCTTAGCAACCGATACCAATCGGTAAAAATACAAAAGCTGGATGGTTCCTACTCAGTGTCAGAGCCTAAGCTGGTAGACCGTGGAGTACCTCAGGGTTCGATACTCGGGCCACTTCTTTTTATTATTTATTGTGCTGACATTGAAAATGCAATAAACTATTGTAATTTTCATTGTTACGCTGATGATATACAAATTTATATCTCTGGAGCCCCCGCTGCGATTACTGACGCTGCTCATAAACTTAATAAGGACTTGGAGAAAATTGCTGCCTGGTCACAAGAAAATGCATTGGTTATTAATCCCAACAAAACAAAATATATGATTCTTGGATCAACAAAACAAATTACTGACATAATAAATAAAAATATTACAGTAAATATCCTGGATCAGAGTATTGAACGAGTGGAAGAAGCGCGAAACTTGGGGATTATTTTTGACAGTCGGCTGCGATTTGAAAGGCATATATTAAATGTAGTACAACAATGTTTTTATCGCCTTAAGGTCTTATATAAAATTCGTAATTTATTATCGGAAAAAGTTCGTATTACACTATGCGAATCATTAATCTTATCCAAATTTAATTATGGAGACATTGTGTATGGACCACGACTATTGGCCAGAACTCAACGCCTGACTCAGAGAGTGCAAAATGCATGTTGTCGTTTTTGCTTTAATATTCCCCCCCGAAGCCATATTAGTCCCTATTTAAACAATGCTTCAATTTTGAATATGGAATCGCGAAGACAGTTACATCTGGCTAGTCTATTGTTCGATGTAATAAAAAGTGAACAGCCAGTTTATCTCTTTGAAAAGCTAAATTTCTCTTCACGTATGTATGGATACAGATTCATTTGTTCGAAATTATCATTTCAAGCACACAGAACTGTGACATTTACTGGCAGCTTCCGCTACCAAGCAACAAAATGTTGGAACAACATCCCGCCACCATTTAGGCATCTGACTACCGTACAAAGTTTTAAAAAACATCACAAAGAATACTTATTAAAAAAACAAATTTTAGGCATTCCACAGAAATTTCTTGGCTAGCGGTTGCAAACTCATGTAATGATTTTTAATATTTTTTTTTTCCATGTTTCTCTTATTAATATTTTCTTTTTTTTTTCGCTTTATCCTTACCACTCAGTTAAAATTATATCAAATTATACTCTTGAACTATTTACATTATTTTTATTATACACACACTGCACAGACAATCACCAAAAATATTACTCTTTTTATTTTGTATTTATTTTATTTATTATTTTCACGTACCCTCAAATGGGTTAAAGCTGAAAATCAGTGTTTTGTTCCTTGAACAATGTTACACGCTGAGCTTCGACCTTTTTGTATTGCTGCAGATCACACATAATAACACAATTATAAATCTTATGTTGTTTTATGTATTGTCTATTCTTATGTACATGTTGTGTGTGATTAGTAACAAACAAATAAACGATCTATCTATCTATCTATCTATCTAGTAGCCAATGTTTCCTTTTTTGCAATATGTACAGTAAGTGAAATAAAGAAAGAGTAGCGACAGGACACCATCCCGATGAATAGCATCCTGAAACATTTCGTTGGTAGGTTTTGATGGACCTTCAATGTTGAAGAATCAAAAAACAAGTTTGTTATGACATAAATTAATATTCTATTGTAATTTAAATTTCAGCACAGAACTGGTAAATATTGTAATTTATTTACAACATTTAACGATAATGATTACAGGTAAATAGTACCTACCTGCATACAAGTAATTTCTCATTAGTAGTACAAAGCGTTCATCTAATTATAGATATACATCTTTATTGCACAAAAAGATAATTAACATTTTCACAGTCATAGTTTTAATATTCGGCTTTATTGCTTCGCTTTTACGGCATGAGCAGACATTTTGTCTGAGGATATAATTTCCCTTTATGTTTTACTCCATCTACATTGGCTTTCAAATGAAAAATATACCTACACAATGTATCTTTTAATCTATTCATATTTATTACTAGCTGTATCTCGTGGCTTCGCTCATCATCGTATTATGATGTTAAATATACAATCTTCCACTTTATTATATTAAATATAGATATATCTAAACTTATATGCTAGAACACATATATACACTTAACATTTTTCAGTATCACTCATTCATATTATAATTAATTCTCTTTTACTTTATCTACGACACAGAACTGCTGCTTTTTGTCTTATTTTTGGTAAGTGTGAAATATCTTTATAATTAAGTATGAAAGTAGACACTAAGTATATATTACTTTTTTCTTTCATTATCCGGTATTCAACATTGACCTCTTTCATAGACTATCAAAAGAAACGGTCCTGAGCTATCAGCATTTTTGAACTTCTATCAACACAACTAAATTCTTCGTTATATTTCCCTCTAATGGCACATGCGACGTTACTTGTGAAGTGAATTAGGATAAATTATTTTAATCATGAAAATAACGTTCTATTTATATAATTCTCTTCAATGGATCAACCTTTATGTTCAGTGAGGAATAAGAACTTCAAATGAACAACGGATGTAATTCGATATTTTTGAAGACATTCAGGTCACGTTGTTATTTATGTTCGGTCACCACCTAAATCCAAACTCGTTCGTCTAAACCTGAATTGAACTAGGAAAATATAATCTTAAACGTCTTTGAGTTTGGTTTACGCTTGGTTAATTTACTTTTTTCTATTTGGACGATAAAAAGAAGCTATTATTATAACATGTAGGTGCTGACCAAACTAGTTGACTTGAATTCGAATCATAAAGAACAATGTTAATTATTTTTCATAATTTATAAATATTTTATACGACTCCAAACTTCAAATATACAATTCTATTGCACGTAATGTCTCTTATTTTTATTATTTTTCCGTATTCTCTGTAATTTCATTCCGTATGCCATGCTTCAACCTAAAAAACAATTATGCAAATATAATGCTTGGCAGAAGAAACACGAATGACAGTCAGTTTTTACATTTTAAAATAATTATTAGGGAGAAAGAATTCTTTATATAGGATCTAACCACCCCGTTGATAGCAATTTGCCCCCCCCCCCCTGGAAATCAACCAATGTTATTTATTACTGGTAAATTTGTCGCGATGGGCCAATGGATCTCTCTTAATCCTCGTCTTTCTATGATCCCTCACTAGTATCTGACCAAGGTATACCAATAGCGCAGGTGTGGTTTTCGTTTCAATTTATTCTTTTATTTTTAAAAGAATAAATTGAAACGAACTTGTGTTCTAATTGAGTTTTATGCTCTAAAATTCTTAACACCTTATTAAGATATCTAAGTTCTAAGTACATGTTCGGACATATTAGTCGTACCTTGTTACGTAAATTAATTTAATTTGTATGCGTGTTATATAAAGTTTGTAGAGCGAGTAAAGTTTGAAAGGAAGTGTTGGTGAGAAAATATAAAAGCGATTCTAACAGTGTTTTGTTGTAAGCATAGGGTAGTATAAAGAATAAGTTAAAGGCAATGTACAAGTGATCCTACCTATCATAATCAAATAGAGAGTATACTAATAGTCATAAATAAATCATCAAAATAAATGGTATACTGACAAAGAAGTTAAGAGCCTCTAAAATCGATATACAGAATTACCATTATCATTATTACCATCATGATCTATATGATATAATATATCATCACCATAAACCATTGTGGGGCAAACAGCTCTACCAAGATAGACGCTATTTTTCACTCATTCTGAAGTAGGTACTGAGTGCCGTCTTCAATTTTTCCCTTTCAATTATTTTCAGCTACAGTACAGGTAATGGCACTTATTTAAATAAACGAAGTAAGAATTATTCTCCTCTATGCCAATCTTTGTCTAGCCATTCCACGCCAAGAAATAACAAACTCATATTCATAACATGAGTTGGTTTTTTTATCAATGTTTAATATTTTTAATAACTAATTACTGGCCATTTCAACTAATTAAGTATCTAAACTACCTTTACCATCAGAGTTTAGAAGTTTCAGAAACTTTCGATATCGTTTAAGTCATCTCATTAATAAGATTGAGGTTAGTTTCAGGTTGAGTCGACAACTTCCTTACAGAAGTTTCGCGATACCTTGTCACAGCACAAACTGTCTTCAAGGATTTATTGAGATACAGCCAACTTTGTCAAACTTACCTTTGTACATATTTATAGGTGTAACTAAAAGCATTTCATTTAGGTGTATCATCTATATATACCTTATTTCTATAAGCATTTTGGACAAATATGTTGTGCAAACTGCACTTTAAAACATTATATAGATACAAATTTCTTTAATAGAAATGAACAAAATATAAAGATATAATATAATATAAATTTATACTTAATATATATCTGATTATATTATAAATTTCGTAAAATCAACACATAATATTTTTCTTTTGAATTGTGATGCCCAATTAAACATAAGGTTAGTCTGATGGTGAGTAATCAACGCTGCCCATGACATTACTCATATATGGTCAACATTTGAAATTATTTTGGTATACAATAATTTCACTAGCATATTTTTTATGCAATTTAGAATAGCCAACAAGTCCATCTCATGGAAAGTGGTAACCGTCACCTATAGACATGAATTTCACTATTCACATCACATCACATAATTTAACGCCCGTAATTTATTTATTTATTTATTACATCCTATTGTATAATATCATGTGTTACTATTTATGAGAATATGTGTTATGCCTCCATGACCTTTACTTTCAAGATCCCACCCTTCATACCTAGTATAAATAGTGGGAAATACACACAACCATGAAAACAAAATTGCTTCACGGCAAACACGAGTGGAACAGAGGTACTTAAGCAGAGAACTTTTGTACAAAGTCTCCCTCTAGTGATAAATCTTTATGTGCCCTTACATTATTTGTTTTGATTCTCTTTCTACTACAAAATTTATAACAAAATATATTACTCGTTTATCAAATAATAAAATACATGTGTGTAATATAACAGTTATCAAACTTATATAGTAACTAACAATTTATATTATTAGACTCTTAGAACTATTTAATACAATTAACTTGTCCACGCGTAATGAAAACCACTCAATTTTCATTGGTTACAGTATTAGAAATATTCAACAAACATTTCTTCATTAAATCTTGTTGAAATAAGCTTAAACTATTTATTTATTAAAATATTTTTAATAAATAAATAAATGAATTTGAAAATTCAAAAATAGGCTTAAAAAACTGTAATATAATTCAATAAAAGAATTTTAGCAATTCACAATTATTAGATAATTGAAGTAAATATTATATTTATAATTGACTAAAAAAATACGTATGCAGTTTTCGAAAGTATTCTTTTATAAGTAGGTAATTACATTTAAATAGATATGTATTAACTGGGTGAAATCAAAATCGTTAGCAGTATGTAAAACTATGAATTTATTTATACTATAGAACATGTTTGGACATAAATATCGTGAATCAAAAATTTAAAAATGATAAAAAATTTCGATCCTATTTTACTAAATGGATGCGCGGCATTAATATGGAAGGTTTAAGTTTTAATATTTATGTTACTTCGGCAATGCTATATAATGTCACTAGTAGAAAATTCCCTTCAAAAGATGCTAATGGGTAGGCATAAAATTCATTCGCTTGAAATTATTAATCGGGTCTAAAACTTACGTTTCAGTTTTTAGTTATGTTGGTCTTCTGCTTGCTATTGTTATTTAAATTTTTATACTTATTTTATAATATACCTACTCGTATCTAGTATAGCAGTAAAGTATATTACTGATGAGAAAATTGAACTTTTTGCCCTAACACCCGGTGCCAGCACCACTAATTACTTACCGTATTTAATATAAAATGGTGACTTTCCGGAACCATTATACGTTAATGAACAACAATTTATAAACATTGATGTGGCCAAAGTGCTGTTTAAATTAAGTTTTACTTTGAAAAATGGTTTTCGAAGTT